TATATATGTACTTGTGTACTTGTTTAGCTTTTCAGTTACTTTTATAATCCTTTATTGTGTGTGTACACACATACATATATGTATATATATATATATATATGTGTGTGTGTGTGTGTGAATAGTTTTTTTATGATGCCTTAGATAGGACTTGTATTTTTTGTTGCTAGTAAGTGATTGCGTTAAGTGTAAGAGCCTTGACGGGTTGTTACAAGATGCGTGTATATTAAATTTCATTTCTCTTATGTTGAAATATATGATTCAATCCTTTTAACTTCATATGATTAATGTAATTAATTATATTTTCCTCCATTGAAAGATACGAATATTGTACTACCCTCGATTTTTATGTTCAATAAAGATTAAATTACATTTTGTTCTCTTATGAGGTAAGATGATTATTATACTATCCCTCTCATAATAATATGTAATTAATATAAATTATTTAACTTAATTTTAAAATTACTTTTATTTAAGATATATACTAGTGGTGAGGAGCTTAGGATAGTATGTAAATGGTTTTAAGTTCAAATTCTGATACTATCATTATAATTCTAATAGATAAAAATATACTAAAACATTTTTAAATTAGTAAATATCATTAACTCACTTGATAAAGGATTTCATAAATATATAATAATGTTTAAAATATTTTTATTAAAATAATAATGGAAATATAAATTATCAGAAAAATTGTATATGTTTATATATAATTATTAAATTTGTACTAAGTATATTTTACATAATAAGAGACTTTTAAATTTTAATATATAAATAGATTCATTTAAATAGTTACACATTTAGTATACATTTATTAGTCTTACATCTATTAAATTCAATAAATGTGGTATTTATAATAATATTCTTAACATTAATTGCGTATTGTATTTAATAAATATAATAATTCATACTATTTAAGGAAATACTGAGGTTAGCGAAAAAATACATAGAAGGGGGGTTGAATATGTGTGTGTGTGAACAAAGGTATTTTAAAAAACGTTTTCACAAGAGTAGTGCTCTTTGTCCACCGTACTTTTGAATATCAGATGATTGTGCAGAACTTGATTAACGAACAATCAATGCGTCTGAAAGGTTTATCGTCCACTAGGGAAAATGTCTCGTAAAAGTATTAATTGAAGGTCTTACATTTTCCTTTTCAAGATAGTTTCGTTTAAGAATAAGTAGCAGATGAACTTTCAGTGTAATAAGTTTGCCAAGCAAAGTTAGCGTCTTCGTCTAAAAGTTTTTTTAAATATATATGAGCATTGGATGAAGTCTTTCGCAAGGATTTATTCAATAAGGAAGATTTGCATCTAAGTAAATAAAAAAATGCAATCATTTTATACTGGTTCTCGCTCAACTAAGCTACGTCCAGTCTCATTCAACTTGAAGGGTTCCACTAGATATTAAATCAAGTACACAAGTATTGTTGACCACTTTTGGCTCGTTGACTTCACTCATCAATGCTAGTATATTCTTCTCAACCTCTTCAGGCTAGCAGTGAGTATTATGAACTACCTAGGTTAGAACCACTCCTGGTCCAAGTAAAGATATTTCGAGCCATGAATTGTCCTGATAACCAAAAAGTAAATTATACACTGTTTATGTTAGTAGGAGAAGCAGAATATTGGTGGGATAGTACTAGAATACTATTAGAAGGAGGAGGAATAATTATTACATGGGAAGTGTTTAGAGCTAAATTTTTTGAAAAATATTTTTCGAATGATGTTAGGAGGGCTAAAGAAATAGAATTTATGCAATTAAAACAAGGGAACATGACAGTGGGAGAATATGCTTCTAAGTTTGAAGAATTGGGAAAGTATTATACTTTCTTTTATCACCCTGATGAGAGGATGAAGTGTATTAAATTTGAGGATGGACTTAGACCAGAATTAAGAAAGGCAGTAGGAATATTAGAACTTTCTGATTTTCCCACACTAATACACAAGTCGTTTTCAAGAAGGTTTTGATCACAATAAGGATAACAGACCAAAATCTTTTGGTCCTTAGTTTAACAAAAAAAGGAATAATGAAGGAAAACCTTATGATAGACCTCAAGGGAAACCCCAATCTTCTCAATTTGTAGGAAATTCCAGTAGACCCATGAATAATCAAGCTAAGTGTCTTAAGTGTGGATAGGGCCATTATACTAAAGACTGTCATCTAAAAGGACTTGTTTGTTTCAAGTGTTGAAAGCTTGGTCATGTGTTTTCTAAGTGGACAACCAAAGGCGAATGTGAATACTTCTGGACCCAAACCAAGACCTTTTACAACTGGGAGAGTTTATACCATGATCAGAGCTGAAGCTGATCAAAACAATGATCTAATACAAGGTAAATATTTCATTAAAGGCAAAACTTTGAATGTACTGTATGATTCAGGCGCAACTCATTCTTTTACTTCCAATGATTGCGTTCAACACCTTCAATTGTCAGTTTCTTCTTTAGAGACTAATCTAATTTTTTCGACCCCTACAAATGAATCTATAATTGCCAAATAAAGTTTCTTTAGATTGCCCTATTTTTATTAGTGATAGAAAATTTCTTGTAAATTTGATCTACCTACCTATATCACAGTTGGATGTGATTTTAGGTATGGACTGGTTATCTTCCAACCATGTCCTTCTCAATTATGCCAAAAAGTCTGTAAGGTTTTCTAATTCTAAGGACCTATCAATTTCATTATCCAAACCAATACCCAAGTTTTCTTGGGGTAAAGTTCAAGGATATTTAATCTTGTCCTCTATGGAAGCTAAAGAAGAAGTCGACTTGAAAAACATAGTTGTTGTTCAAAATTTTCCTGAAGTTTTCCCTAATGATATTCCTGGTTTGCCACCTGACAGAGAGATTGAATTTTTGATTGATTTAATGCCTGGAACTGGACCAATTTCAATGGCACCTTATAGGATGTCACCTTTTGAATTATCTGAGTTGAAGAAACAATTAGAAGAGTTTCTTGAAAAACAACTCATACGCCCTAGTGTATCACCTTGGGGGGCTCCTATTGGAGCGCGGGGGTGACTGTGGAGAGGTTCTTCCCTCAGGATTCGTTTAGCTCCGAGGACCAGGGATTGATTGACGAGGTCGGTCCTAAGGACAATTTTGATGCTGCCCAGGTCATGCTGTAGAGGGTTATGGGCAT